AGAGAATATAGCCTAAAATCAACATTTGCGTAACATAACCTAGGAGGTTAACCTTGTTATAAAATAAAAATAATTTACCTACTAGCTGGTGGCTAAAATTACCTGTTGATATGTATTAACCACCATTTGAACAGTGCTATTGAAAGTGAATTTACGCCAAAGCAATATAGTATTCTAATATAAAATAATTTACTTACCCGAGATGCTTCATTTAAATTGAAAAATAATGTACAGTGGTTGAAAGACTTTTGATTGTGTATATAAATCATTTAGAATAGTTTTTATGAATAAGCTCTTTAAATTAATATGTAGGTATATTGTAGCCAGGTATTTATTTAGAATGCATTTGTTTTAAATTATAATTCTTTGTGTTCTTGATATAACATGTTCCTGTTATATTTTTTTGGTATAGATGCTAAATTGTATATTAAATTTATATACTGTATATTCTATTTATTAAATTTAGTGGAATTTAGTCAGTTAATAAAAACAAAAGTTGTAATGTATTAATATTGCTAAATAAATAAATATATGATGAAATAAGTCAGTGTATATACATATTTACATAAATTGAGTTCATTATTTATTCATTAATATTTTATTTACAAAAATTTACCTTTACAATTATTAGGTTGAATATAATACATCTTGAATTTAATAGTCTACGAAACAGTGACAATTTGCAAAACTTTGCTTATGACATTAAAACTTAAATTCAGAAAATCTAAAGAAAAAACACTATTGGACACAGGAAACATTTCAGCTTAATGTACCTACCTATTCTCTGGTTTCAGCTATAAAAAGTTATAGGATAGATAACACTGATCAAAGGTTGCAACAGTAGTGTTCATCTTCACGTTCCATTGAAGTTATTCCTGATAAAATACTTTTAATTTTCGTGATTCAGTTCCTGTCAATTGCGGTAAAACTACTACTAGTTTGTTACGAAAGTTTTTAATGTTTATTAAAATGATATCACACTGAACTGCTTGTAAACATATCAATTTCAAATGTTTTTATGAAAAACTATTAATAAATCAGTAACAAAATCACACCATAAACTATTTAATTCGCATTTGTCATCAAGAAACAATTACTGTTTAGATCAAATCAAAGGTTGAACTGGTGATATTTGTTGCTGGAAATCTTTTTTGTACAACAGTTATAGGGAAGATTTATTTTAGCAGCTTATATTTTTCTTCGGTGCGTGTATGCACTAAAAATAACCATATAATGAAACAATTTTATAATAACAACTTAGAAAAAGAATATCTAAAACCGGCATCTGATATAACCTAACTTCTAACTTACTTTTCAAACTCAAATTTAAGGTTTTGTATTCACAATTTTAGCCACGCACATTGTTCAATTAGAAAAAAACACGTTTCTAAAAGGTAAATCTGGTAAAATATGCCCAAATATTAACTGAACTCTATAATTTGTAACAAAATAGTAATTCTTGCCATAAGAAGCTGTGTATTTCTCAATCTGTCGGATCACATGCGCCCCTAACGGCGATTTTCGAACTTCATTTAGATCTCAAAAACTGGGCCCATAATTTTTGCGTTCGATTCGCCTCCTCCTTCTAGCCTCCATAGATATACCTATGTAGCCTCAATGACAGTATGAACGGATGTATAGCAGCCAAGGGAGTATTTTTTATTTTTTTTTTCTGTTCGTATACTTGACTATTATAGATGTTTCCTTTAATATCCTTAGTTATCTTATTGTTATGAATGTTTATTAAAACCAGGACTGTATCGTTAGAAAAAATTGCGAATTTATCGTCATCAGTTCATTTCGCTCTTGAAAATTAACCAAAGCATGTATTGACATGAATCAAAAAACAAAAAACATGAATCGAAAAACAAAATGCTCAGGAGTCATGGTCCTGACCGTAAAATTATATTTCAATAAAATTTACACACGAAATTATTGCACAGGGTGTTGTAATGTTAGGGTAAAGAAACGACCCCTCGATTAACCCTGTATAATATGCCAAATATTAAAGTTTATAAAAAACTTAGTTTTTGAATTAAAGGTGATATAATTATATACAGTTTGCTAAAAAAATCATGAAAATAGGGCTAAGAATAACGTGAGTGTATATACCTATCCAAAAATTGTATTGATGGTCAATGAGAATTTTTTTCAAATGAAATAACAGAACTAAAAAAAACATCTTAAACTTTAATAATAAATCAACGATGTTGGAGTACAAACGGTAGGTATTTGAGAAGACAACCAGAAAAAACGCTAATTTTAAATGGCTGTTGAGACCGAACAGTTTTTCACAGAAAAAAAAAACTTAATTGACAAAAATTATATTATACTTACATGTAAAATTAAAAACATTGTGTAGAAAATACATTTTATTAGAAAACCTAATAACACTCATACAATTTGAAACCAAATTTTACCGTTATCATTTAATCATTTCTAACAATTCCGCTAGTACTGATATTTTTGTATAACAAGTACCTACTTTGTATTATCTACTAACATTTATATAATATACCCTTATCTTTGGTAAATGTCAGGGCAACTACAACTTTAAGTACATATACTCTTATTTTTTACCGAAGGTGGTGAGTATCATTTCCAGATTTTGAAAATATTTTCAATCTTAGTGTATACACTGCAATATTTTTCTATCTTTAAAAAATAGATTTTAAAAGAAAGAGACAAAAGAGTGGTATTTTAGTATTAAAATATGATTGCCCATAATGCTTATTTTTCAAAAATGGAAATGATACATTCATAACAACATTCATTTTGATAGTATTGTTAACATGATGTTATTGATATACGTCTATTTATAACTAACCAGTTATTATATTTATATACAAATTCGTTATTATTTAAATACACATCAGCCGTTAGAGGCTGCTTATAAACAATATATACAGTGTGACCCTGTTGAGAGAATGAGATAAGTTTAGAGTAGTTTTTACACGTATTTTTACACAGTTACATACATGCATAAATGTAAGTGCTTATAGAAAATTATTTATAATAACAGACTTCTTGCAGCATCAATATAAATGCATTAAAAAAATTTAAAATGCGATTCTAAAATAAAAAATAATTTTAAATACATCTTAATATAATATTATAATCAATTCCATAACACTGATACTCAGTGATATTATTAGGTGTTTGTTTATACTAAGGGCTGTCAAAGGTTAGTTTTGGGTCGAGATTTCCGTGTGTAAGAAGAGTACAATGCATTTATAATGTACTGACCAAAGAGAGAACAGTAAAAACGTTGCCAAACGTATGAAATAAACCGAGAATCTGTGCACATTGCTAAGAGACGTGGAAGTACTTAATCTAGAATTTTAAGTACTGACTCAGTCAGTACTTAAAATTTTAGAGAAAGGTGTAAATTATGCGTCTAGCTTCACGATTTAATTACGTCTCATGAACTTTCTTAATATTTCTGCTAAATTTTCTTTTCAAACAGTATGTAAAAATCTTTATCAATAAAAAAGTTACACGATTGTTGAAAATTGCTATGAACTTAAAGTAAATGAATGTTTTTTTTAAATTTTTTGAATGGAAAAAAAACAAGTTTATCCATTTTTTCTTGTTTAAACATCTTGTAAAAGATCCAAATAAACTTCAAAATAAAAGTTTCAATATCTAAAATAGTTCTTGAGTTATCGCGCGTTATGTATTAAAAAGTTGGTTTTTAAATGATCGCGATTATTAACGTTTTCTCGTTATAAAACATGGACACCTAACGACATCCTTATAATTCTATTTCAGATGCTCAGAAACATATCTAATGAAAATCTAGTAATCTTTACGAAAAAAAGTCTTTTAAAAATAAACGGTTTGCGATTGTAATTTTACTTTACTTGATACGGAAAGGCGTACCGGAGAAATGTGGCAACGCCGCGACAGCACACCGTCGCATTTCTCTCACTCCGACTTAGTAAGATTCCTAAGCGATTGACTTCCACACATGTAAATACCAACAACCCAGAAGTAAGAGTTGCCAGCATGGTATAACAAAATATTCTTAAATGTTTATTTTTTTTATCTTTGTCTTTTTATAGGCATTTCAAATAGGCCATTTTAAATATATGGGATTAAAAATTATTGATGTTAATTAATATTTATATTCATCATCATAAATTAATTCAACTTATGGATAGATTGAAACCAGTATAAGTTGGATGAAAAAAAAATAAACAAAAGCTTTAAGACATAAGCCCTAGGAAAAATTAAAGTAACTTTGTAGCTTAGAGGAAAATTATTTTACATCTATTAGTCCAATCCATAATTGAATCAAGACAAATTCATTTCATCATTTTTCAAGACAAACAGAAATCTATATATCTCAAAGTCAGTTCAGTCCTTTTAGTACGAGGGCTAGCAACGTTGGAAAACAAACAGATTAAGAAAGCTGGCTCTTTAATATATCGTTTACTATGCTCTCTGGAAGAGCATGCGGCCCGTCTGGCTGCCGGTAAACATTGCGTTCCCTACTGCGCATTGAAAGAAGATCCTATATTTTATTAGCCTATTATTTAGAGTCTAGTATTGAATATAAACCGACGAGTTCTGATAGCTCAGCGCGTAGAGGTTCCGCCTTTCAAGCGCGGAGTCAGAGTTCGATTCCGGGTCAGGGCACACATTTTTTATTTTATTTTTGTTTATATTCTGGTAGTAAAGTATTAAATAATTCTGGTGATTAAAAAAAACAAATGTTTAATACATTACTATCAGAATATAAACGAAAATAAAATAAAAAAGTTTTTGCCCTGACCCGGTCTCGAACTCTGAATCCTTGGTTCGTAGTCGGAAACTCTACGCGCTGCCCTATGGAGACTTGTTCGATTGGTATTCAATACTAGAATTTAACGAACTAAATAAAAAAATAGGATCTTCTTCCGATGAGCAGTAGTGAACGCAACGGGTATCGGCAGCCAGATGGGCCGCATGCTGTTCCAGAGAGCATTGTAAAAGATATATCAAAGAGGCAGCTTTCTGAAAATACTTTCTCAAAAACGTTGCTAGGTCTTAGACTATTTTCTCTAGTATGATACGTTGGTTACCTACTTACACTTAAAACATTTGTCGTTTCTCAAGTAGGTTTTTACAAAAACACTTACTTCACATTTCCGAGATTTTCGCACTACACGGCAGACGGTTCTCCCTCGTATCCTTCATCTGGACTTTCAGTTAGTACCTCGTTGACATTTTCATTCGGCACGTTATTCACTGTCGGCTCACATTTGTCGGGAGCACTAACACTACCACTCACACTACTTTCGCACTCGTCTTCGGTGTCCGTTTGGGCACTGGCGCACTTTTTGGAGACCCCCGGTACCATTTGTTGTGTGCTCTGTAGACGGGGTGGCCAATTTGCCGAACAACATGGCAACGATGGAGGTGGCGTGCTAGTACCGGGCGGTAGACGAGCTCCTGGTGTTTGGCGCGGCACTGGATAACCGTCAGCAGTATACCTGCAAAAAATAATTATATTACTCTTGATATACAGAGTGGTTTGAACTGTATTGCGGAAAGCGTATTCTGCAGAAAAAAAATAAGTAAAAAAGTTCGTATAAATGTATATCCTAAAATGCTTAGTTTCGGAGATACAGGGTGTAGAAGTTTCTTTTTTATTTCGTTTTTTTCCAAATAATTTCCGAAGTAACGGCAATGTTTAGTTGATAATTGGTGTCTGGGAGTTTTTTGATATGAGAAATTTGATTTTGATGTCAATATGACTCCTACTTGAGAGGGTACTACCTAAGTATTTATAATAGGTTTGAAGTGTAATAACTTTTCGTCCGAACCTGTATAAAACTACTGAGTATAAAATATACATTTACGACATTTTTTACGTAAAAAAGGTCTCTTGGTTATTTATAGGGGGCGCCACCTACATGTATTTTAACTATTTTGAAAAGTAATAACTTATCGTCCGTACCTGTATGAAACTACTGGGTGGAAAAATATACATTCCCGTGATTTTTTACAAAAAAATGCCTCTTGGTAAAAATTGCACAAGCATTCGATCTCAAGGTATTTAGAACTGAAATAGTCAATACATCTTACTACTGACAAAAAATAAACATATTGAGTAGATAGCGATTTGACTGAAATGATAAAGTTGAGAACTCTTTATTTTTTTAAATTAATCATAAATTTCTTTTCGAAAAAATGATGATAAGGTAGTTTTTCTTGAACTTTTGGCACAAAAACATTTCAAATTTATGAATTCAATATAATAATTATTTAGTCAACATGTTCAATTTGACATGACGATATTGAAAATTTCAATTCTAAATATGTCGAGAACCATTACTTGTAACGATTTTTACCAATACACCTTTTTTACGAACAATGAAAATTACAGAACGTTGTAAATGTATATCTTTTTACTTAACAGTTTTATACAGGTACGGACGAAAAGTTATTACTCTTTAAACCAGTTAAAAAATATGTAGGTTGCGCCCTCTACTAGTCGGAGTCATATTGACATCAAAATAAAATTTCTCATGTAAAAAAACTCCCAGACACCAATTTTCATCCAAATATTGACGTTACTTCAGAAATTATTTGGAAAAAAATTATTTATTTTTATTTGCAGAATTTGCTGCGGAACTTTAAAAACCTAATTTATTATTAAATATTATTACTATTAGTTATTATAACTTTTAGTCCAACCTACAGAAATTTCAAATAAAAAAATAATGGTTTAAGATAATTACAAAAATCTAATTTTAAAAAGTAGCCGTACATTTCCGTAGCCATGTATATAAAAACTTTTTTACGTTTTTTTTTATGAGGAATGAACGAGTAGGTGTATATAAAACTTTCGCAAGTTAATGATTTTTAAATTTTTTGAAGGTTGCTATTAGACTTGGCTCAAGACAAATTAATAAAATTGCGTTTATCTCATGAAGGAAGCCGAAATCGACAAAATATCAAGAGACAACTTTTAATTGGCATTAAACTGCTCACACTATTTTGCTAACAAGAGAAAAAAGTCAGTGGCGTACATGCTTTTTTTAGAAAAATATTCCAGTGATAACCCGTATGCACGTCCCTGGTGAATAAGTCAACACTTTTTTAGCTTCAAAGTATGTCGCATTTATAGTAACTTTTACCCTCAAAATTTCATTTGAAACGCTAAAAGTACTTGGAAGAAAATTATAATAATTAAAAAAAAATCAAGATTTGAACACCCTGTAGCTACGAAACAAGGCAGAATCGGATCTATGTTGATATAAAAAATAAATATTTTAAACACCTTGTATAAGTTTATCAACTTTAATTCGTAAACTTAATTTGTTATTAACTCGAGTATTTCGATTATTTCTATTCCTTAATTATTAATCACGGTTACATAATGGAAATAGGCCAAAATAAGCTTCACAATGATGACATATTTTGCAGTTAGTAGATAAATATATTTACATATGGGTCGATTTTGTCTCTTTCTCAGAATACTCAAATTGTCCCTAGAAATAACCGCTATTATATGCGAAGGATTAGATAGAAAATCAGAACGTATCCGTATTAAATAGTATTTGGGCTAGTCGCTGTGGGTAATAAAGGAAATGACGAAGGGAACTCGACTGTCGCGATTACAACCTCGGCGGGTCCGGGGAGATTTCCCGCTTGAGGTTATCTAAGCTCCATGATACGGGGATAAACTCTAAACATTCTCATGGGAAATTACATGCAAAACAGCCTCGAATTATCCCTCCTTCAATATTTTCAGTTATAATATCCATAAATTTGCCAGATATATTGATTTCGTCAAATCGTTTTATACAGGGCGAGTCTTAAATAAGAGCAAATGTTTCCAGGACTGGTAGATCTCGATAAAAGAAACATATTTCCCTTTACAGTTTTTCAAATTATACCAAAATAACCAAGTTATTTTAGTTTGAAAATTTCCAAAAGAAATAATTTTTTGTTTAAATTTTACTGTTTTATAACCAAAAAAATTCCAATTTTTTTTCGTGAAAATAACCTCATAATCGTGTTTCTGTGGTCGAAATATGCCTAAAAAATATTTGCACTTATTTAAGACTCACCCTGTATAATGCGTATTGCATCAAAAAAAACTTTTCGATTTTGTACCTTTTTTACAGTCTAGTAAACTGAAATAATGAAACTAATAATAGAACTAACATAACATAATTTCACAAGATATGAGTACCACTTTGTTAGCAATTTTTACTTTGCAAGTAATAATATCGCGCAGTTGCCTTAAAAGTTATGTATGGGTCTATAATATGATAATAATATATATTTTTAATTATTTGAATTTTACATAATTTCTATATTAAATGAACATGTTCTAACTGCATTTTAAAAAAATGCAGAAAAAAATTGGTTACTATATATAGAGTCTTAAATAAGTGCTAATATTTTTAGGGTAGTATACTTTGACCCCAGAAAGACGTCTATAAGTTTCTTGAGTGAAAGTGAAGTGAAAGTGAGACGTCTATAAGTTTCTTGAATTTTTGGATATTTTTAAAATTTTTAGTTGACAAACATCATATCTTCATAATATAGCAACAAAGGTGGTGTAGATTAAATATACAAGAAAGAAAATCCAGAAAAGATCGGGTGGTTCTCAAAATTTAAGCGAAAAATCTAATTTGTTTGAAATTTTCAAGATCAAATATCTCAGTTATTTTGGTCTTATTTGAAAAACGATAAAGAGGAAATATGTTTCTTTTATCGAGATCTACCAACCCTGAAATTATTTGTACTTATTGAAAACTCACACTGTATAATTCTTAATCCAAAATTTATTAGAAATTTTGCTAAATATTTATTTAAGTAATCAATTAAATTTCAAACATATTTAGTGGCGGCTTAACCATAAGGTCAAATGGTCAATGCCCCCGCCCCAAAAAAAATCAGAAGAAAATTAGGAAAACCCTATTTAAATTATACTTTTTGTAAATAACTTTTTTTCATCCTAAGATATTCTAAACTATTTCCAAAAACCATCAATTTGTCCAATTTTCGCTTCAAAACGTTTTATTTTACCTACTGCCGGTCAAAATTTTATTTTGTCCTTCGTTCCCGCTATGTTTTGTACGTATTAGTGCGGCGGTACACGGTCCGTTTTTGCAGGTCCCGCACTGCGGGTCCTGTTTTGCGGTATGGCAATATCGCATGAGATGGCATGGCAGATGTAACACCATCCGTTTCTGCGGGATGTGCGGCGACATGCTGCCGCAATGCAGGATTGCGGGATGCGGGAACCTCGGTGACGACACAGTCAGTTGAATGTAAACTGTAGCACGGTACGTTCCTGCGGTATGCCGCTTTGATCGCGAAAAGCAAAATATGTTTGATACGGACCAATTAATCGAGCTAATTCGTGGGCTACCTGCCCCTTGGGACAAATCAAACCCTGAATATTCCAACAAAGATGCACGACAAAGGGAATGGGTGAATCCTCGTTGTCGTGTTTTGTTTCGTGATGCTGGGTCTCAATATTTCAAGCAATACATCAAAAGATTTTTGAGACATCCGATAGTAGCCAAAGAATTTATCATTGTACTTTCGAATTTTAGAATAAAATTTTCAAATCTTCGTCTTCTTTCGCGTTCGGAATTAAAAGGATGAACCCAGGTTTTACGGTATTTCGGCTCTCGTAAATTTTTAGCTTCAAGTAATAAAACAATGTTTAATTTTGAAAGGAACATAGTTCCTTCGCCTCTGCCACACAATATCAAAATGTGCTTAGTAGCTGCACGAAGGTCCCGCAATCCGTTTTTGCAGGATCGTATAATTGGAGGCCGCGATCCGTTTCTGCGGCATCCTGCAAAACGGGATGCCGCAAAAACGGACCGTGCAACGCCGCACTTAAACTCCAAATGCCGCGGCTCGTAACGCCAAGAAGGTAAGGTATACTACGTATAGAAAATATAACGGGTTAAGATGCGATAGATATAGTTTATATTGGCCATTGACCGCGTCATTCATAAAAGGATTTCAGTCGTTGGAAAAATTTCGCCGTTTGGGCAGTTTGGGTGTTTATAAAAACTCAAATTATAACGCAACTTAGGTTTTTGTATCGTTTGTCGCGTATAATGTTTGGTTTAGTCAATATAGCAATTTTTAAATTTTTAATATCGAAAGAAATCCCATCTAGTTTGAGGTGTAGCTGATATAGAGGTTATTAATAAATAATGAACTGTGGTTGACTGAAATAGATCTGGAATAGATATTTTATAATAGACAACATGGTGTTTAGTTTTTGAAATCGTGCGGTTTAAAGAAAACAGTAGCTTAAATTTCGAAAAACGTTTAGAGAAAGACTTGACTTAAAATACAAAAAAATGTGAAATAAAACTTCTAGAAATGTGTATGTGTATATACATATGTAATTATATTTTTGTGACATTATTATTTAAGTGTCTTAAATCCTACCATAGAAAATTTGTGTAAAGAATATTGACTGGATTTTTAGTGAAATGGGACTAGACCACCTGTTTAAAAATATAAGAGTAGGTTCCATTTTAACAGAATATATATATATATATATATATATATATATATATATATATATTTATTTTTAGATTTATTTTCCTTTAACTTAACGTACAAGTACCTTGTAAGAAACCAATTAAATTTGGGCGCGTCTTAAAAAAAATCGACGCAATATTTTTAGCTCAATTTTTAGATATTGACCTCCCTACAATAATGACCACGAGCCGCCACTGAACTTTTTATAAAACATATTCTACGGTTTATTTTTCTCTAAACGTTATCTGTTAAATTTCTCGTCCAGTTAAGCCAAATCGGCTTATAGAAGATTCGAATCCGAACTCTAAGCATCGCATTGTACTGGTTTGAATTAAGTTTTCAACTATACAGCACTCAAAAAACCGCCGTATCCGATCGACTTGAATAAGCTACGTACCTGATATCCGAAGCATGATAATTATCGTAAGGAGAATCGATACTCCGGGAAAGGAATTCTATCTCCCTCGAGTACCTTTTCAATGGGTTGGCCGCCGAATGCCTCTTCATTCTATTGCAGGGAAGCGTTCTGTAGTATGGCTCGCTGCAAGTTGATCTGCAGGGCATTTTTGGTAAACCGTAGTCTATGGGGTAGCCCTGAGTATCTACAGCCTGGCATATACCTGAAATTTAAAAATACCATTTTTTAAACTCTAAAGTGGTGGTTTTAACTCTAAAAACTCTTAACTTTAACTGCTAACGCAAGGCAATGTGTTATCTGGCATACCGCTAAATATTATATTTTTTTATGTTTAAGACAATATAAAAACAAATAATAGTATATTACATACCGAGGAGCGAAGTGTTTCATTACTGTCGAGAGATTAACTACATCTCGAGACAATAATGAAAACTTTCCTCCGAGGTTTGTATAATATTTTATTTACAACCACATCATTAATTAGAAAATAGGGACAATTTTATTTTGAAAAAAAAAATAAATACACGAAAAGTTGTCGTTTTTTGTTTTGGCATTTCCATATCTATAGTTACCGGTACCAGTGGTTGTTATGGCGCAAACCTTCCACAATAAAACAAACAACTAAGCATGCCCTAGACACTCAATGGTAATTTTATAGAACTACAAATTTAGTTTCTTCCGCATCGCCAGACGGCGCAAAAGACATTAAAGTACAGATTTCTGATTTATATATGAACATGACAGTCTCTATGTTAACTACTGTCTGTGGTCTAGATTTGTCTAGTTGACAAAATGTTGGTGATCCGTCAAGTTATTTTTAAATCATTATTTAAATAATTATTAATTCAGATATTCCTGATTTGTCGGAAAGTTCAGTGATTTCAGTGATTTGTGATTTTATTAGTTTATGCATTCTGATATTTACAGTCGATCATCATTTTCGTGTTAGCTACTAAACTTTTTTTATTAAAGTCATTTTGACATTTTAGAAATTATAAATTTATGAACCAAATAAAAAAAGAGTTTAATCATAAATAAGTAAGTACATAGTTGGTAATATATAGGTAGTATTTTTAGTAACAGTTAATTAGTAGTCTATAATATTTTTACTATATTATAATTTAGTAGCTAAATCAAAAAAAAATAGGCGCTATGTGATCTATAGTTGGTGTTTAAAATGTATGTATTCATAATTTTAATTTTGTTTTAATTATGTTACACTTCTAGTGATCTAATAAAACATAAAATGGCAGTAAAAAAGTCTATATTTATTGTTTTATATTTACAAGGAATAATTTTGCGCTTGAATAACGTTACCGTTTTAATTAGCGTTAATAAGTAACGGAACGCTAAAATTATGTTATGCCGAAACTCTCCATTAGTTTCTTCCGGATCACCAGGTGGCTCTAAATGACGGACCCATTTGTTTTATATCAGTGTCCAATCTATCTCTAGTACGTGACATTAGTCTATGCAACTAAGTGACAGTTTAGCTAGGGACGATACAGCGCCCCGACGGTAATTTCACAGAGTCCAGGAAAGAAACGTTAGAGATTTTGGCCCAAGAGCACTTCCCAGGCTGCCTGACTCTAGGTGATAAAGAACAACCTCCCCCAATGTCGCCAACTCATGAGTATGAGTCGCAAAAATCGGCCCAAAAAAGAGGATTGGGAGATAGCGAAGAAAGTAATCACCTATAGGGAGACTAAGGGGGCGATCGAAAGTTTTGACCCATTTAAATCTCCAGGAGAGGACGGGTGTTCCTGGCCTTATTGCAGAAGGCTGAGAGCATTATCGTCTCTCGCTTAGTAAGGATCTTTAGGGCAAGTCTGGCATGGTCATACATGCCAGCGGATTGGACGAGAGCAAAGGTGGTATAGCGAAGGTGGGGAAACAAAACCTACAACCTGGCTCATATCGACCAATAAGCCTTACATCATTTCTGCTGAAGATCCTGGAAAAGGTGTTGGATGGGCATATTAGGGGAAGGATCCTTACGTCTAATCCCCTGAATGTCCGACAATATGCCTATCAGCAGGGGAAATCAACAGAACTGTCCCTCAACAATTTGGTGGGGGAAATTAAGAACACCTTTAATCGCAAGGAAATTGCGGTAGGGATTTTCTTAGACATTGAGGGAGAATTTAACAATGTTACCCCTCAATCGCTCCTAGGCGCTGTAAAAGCCCGTGGAGTCGAAGCAACCATAACTGAATGGATTGAGCAAATGCTCAAAAATCGAATAGCAACGACCTCGCTCAGCGGTGAGTCCGTCAGGTTTGTTCCGGGCAGGGGATGCCCGCACAAGGAGGAGTTCTCTCTCCTCTTCTGTGGACCCTGTTAGCGGATGACCTGATGGCAGTCATCGATGTATACGAGGTTGAAGCACAGGCATACGCGGACGACCTGGCAATCCTAGTAAAAGGACACAAAGAGGAGGACATCTCCTCAAAAATACAGGAAGTCTTAGATGCAATTCACGGCTGGTGCACACTGGAACAATTAAGTGTAAACCCACAGAAAACCGTGATCATACCATTCACCAGAAGAAGGAAAACAGACAAACTAAAACCGCCCACTCTTCTTGGTGAGACAATTCCGTTTGCGGAGGAAGTTAAGTATCTAGGATTAAACCTGGACAAAAAACTTAGCTGGAACTCCCATCTGGAAAAAATATTAAAAAAGGCTTGCTATGCTCTATGGGCATGCCGCCGAATTTGTGGTAGAAACTGGAGATTAAACCCCAAAAATATGTACTGGCTATGCGTGACAGCCATCAGACCTATTATCACGTATGGTGGCAGAAAGCCAACCAAACAACGGCAAAGAATAAACTGTCAAAATTACAACGACAAGCATGCTTAGCGGTGACTGGTGCCTTTCATTCTACGCCGTCAAAAGCTATGGAAACCCTACTCGACTTACCTGCTCTTCAAATTATGTTGGAGAGGGAGGCGAGATGGGCTACTTATAGGTTTCTAAATATGGCACGAGAGAGTCAAGGAACAATCATGTTCATACAAAACCGACTAGTAGACGAACTACAATCGGATGAGATTCTGGGAATGGTCTCGGATCTCACACCACCAATCCAACTCTTGACGCGCACCTACAACGTCCTGTTTCCGAATAGGGACGAATGGGATAAGCCGAGAAACGGCTTATTACTTCGGAAATGTGTTGGTACACGGACGGATCCAAAAACGATAAAGGATCTGGCGCAGAAATTTACTGCAGCAGTCCAAAGACTGAGATCTACCACAGTCTTGGAAAACACACCACAATTTTCCAAGCTGAGCTATATGCGATTGAAACCTGTGTGCAACTGCTGGTAGAACAGCAATACACCGGGAAAACAATAAGCATATTTTCGGATAGTCAAGCCGCGTTGAAAGCACTTGAGGCAACGAAAAGCACGTCCAGGACGATTCTTCATTGTAAGAAACTACTCAATATATTAGGAGATGGAAACAAAGTGTCGCTAATATGGATACCGAGACATGTCGGTCTAGAGGGAAATGAACATGCTGATTCCCTCTCTAAAACTATTGCAGGCTCGCTATTCGTGGGTCCAGAACCGACACTTACCAGCGTACCAAAAAATCTCGGAAGAGACAGGCTCTGTGAATGGGTTAGAGGTGCAACGTTTCGGGACTGGTATGACAGTCCCGGAATGGAACATGCCAAGACAATCCTAGCAGGGCCATCCAAACGTAGAACAGATGAACTCCTAAAGGCTGGTAGGAACGGAGCGCGTACGCTTACTGCAGTATACACGGGCCATGCCGGCTGAGATCACACCTACAGAAGATGGGACTGGTGGAAGACGCCGAATGCCGACTCTGTATGGAAGATGACGAAACAATGAAGCACGTTATGTGTAACTGCCCTGCTGGGGGCAGGACCCAGGTTTGAGGTGTTTGGCAAACCCACGCTAGACCTATCAGACCTAGAAGACATATCACCCTCGGACATAACGGCCTATATTAAAAGGCTGGATCTTGAGGGGTGAACTTTAATGCTCTTTTTTCTATTAAAGAGCTTGTAGAAACTGAGTTAACAATAGGCCCTCGCCGAAGCTGCAAAAGAGCAGAAGCCCGTTTATTTCCAGAGAAACGTAGGGGGGCGATATGAAATAGCATTTAAAGTATACGAAAAATGGTGTGCCGAAAGAAATGCTAAGAATATTGCTTCAGGAGACAGTCTTGATGGCATATTTTAGCGATATGACAAGGCAGAAAAAGCCATCTACTCTTGGGGTTACGTACAGCATGATACGGACAATGCTAGAATTAAGGGAAAAGACTGACATATCAAAATATCACAAACTCGTCGCTTTTTCAAAACGCCAGAATGTAGGTTTTAAGCCACAGAAGTCTAGCATTTTTTAATTTTAACAAATAAATGTATTAAAATCTTCAATTATTATTGTTAATATTCTTGTTTATTTTTGTTGATGTTAGATAAGTATTTAATAAAGATATTACAAGAATATTTTGCTAATTAAATGAGGCGAGAAATAAGAAAAACCGAGTGAGGGAAATGGGAGGAGGGAAGAAATGTAGATAATTTGACACTTTCAATTTTTTTAAAAGTCAGTAATGTCAGTATTACATATGTGGTTGTAAATAAATACTTTTAGTAAAGAACATTTATTTTCAGATTATTTAAATCGATGTACTTAAACAGCCGTTAAACGGTAGCCTATAAAATGCCGTTAATAGATATTGTGACGTCGTTCATGTCGGCGGAAAGTAATGCCTAGCTATAAGCATTTACAAGAGCACCTGTGGCTCCGTGGCTGCGCCCATTGCTTCGTGAGCGAATGGTCCGTGGTTCAAATCTCACGCCGACCAGGACTTTTTATATATTTTTTTGCTTATAGCGTGATCTTATTGCATTGATTTCACTCAATTTCACTCTTTTTGGTTGGATTGGTTTAGTTATTTGGCGGGTTGGTTAGCGTGGTTATTTGGAGGGTGTTAATTCATTGGTTAGTTGGTTATTTGGTGGGGTTGGTTGGTTTTTACTAATTTATATTTGTTTTTTTATATTTTTTCATCAGTGTCGAGGTTAGTTGCGTTGGTTAAGTTGATTATTTGGTGGGGTGGATAGCGTTGGTTAGTCCTTATAAAATTCCTATGTTTCATAAAGCCGTCAATTGCGTCACATCAACGACGTCATACCTATTAACGGCATTTTAATAAGCTACCGTTTAACGGCAGTTTAAGTACAGCCTGAATACAAGATTTGTACTTTAAACTTAAAAATGTTTACTAGCAGACCTTGCAGTCGAACTTTTAGAACCTTTTTAGTGCGAAGCATACAAGATTAATAGCCGTAAAAAACTCATCCCAACTTTATTAGAATATTTTGAACGGGAAAGCGTTAGTAATGGCCCTCTATGATCTTTAAGTGTTGGTAAGAAGGTGAGTTTTGTTGATGTAAATAATAACTGTTTATATATTTATAATTAATTTATAACATTAAATTTAATACATTATTAATGATAAATATAATGTCATTTTAACAAAAAGTCAACGGTTTTTGTAGACATATTTGTTTTAAAAAACTAAAATGTTCTCGAATAGTTGAATTTAAACATTTTAAATAGTTTTTTTCTTTATTCTTTGTATTTTTTGCTTCTGACGACGGAAAGAGATAAACTTTCCGAAACGTTAAGTATTTTTTTGGTTCGTTAGGCAAATTTTTATATCTGTAAACCTAATTTCTGACAAGTAGTTTCCGTTTGGATTAACGCAGTTTGCAAAAAATAACTATTTTACTTTGTAGATTTTCTTGCAGTGGCGAAATACCCATATAGGATTTTTTAATGAATCAGATGAATCCGCCACATACATAGGTATAGACATTTTTTAAAATTGCACTTATTTTACACCCAGCTTCACTCTGGAGATGATTTCGTGTATTTAACCGATTAGACAACGAAATATTTCACTAATAAATTTATTATCTTGTATTATCATCGTTTTATTTTCGCTACCAGCTTTTAATTAAACGCCACGAGGGCCCTAAGCTCGATGTGCTCAATCTTCTTTTTAATTTAGAGTCTCTTATTTCTCTAACGCTAGAAAATCTACCTCTTAAAATCTTAAGTAGTTTTGTTCGTTAGGAGTACGCTTTCGAATAAAACGTCCTGTTGAAAATTCTTTAGATTTTACCATTTGGTTCTGTATTATTAATAGTTTTAAATACGATATATACAGGGTTCTTCACCTCATACGACACGGAGTATTGTTGACACATGATTAAATTTTTAGATATTCTGAGTGATAGATTCGTTGGAGAACAATTTAAAATTATTTTCAAAAGGTACAGAGTGTCCCAAATAAATAAAAAATATCAAAGTAATGTTTTTTTAAATGGAAAACCGTGTATATTATTAAATTTTTAGTTTCTATACTATTAAAGTAACGATAAATTTGATTAAGGTTTACAGCACTTTAATCTTACTGCTTTTGCGAAAATACAGTTACCATTTAATGTTTTATTTCTCTAAAAATGGCAATAATGGTGGTATATTTAATTAGTATACTCTCTAGCTTCTCTAGTATACTCTAATAATATTTAAGTAGCTTTCTTTTATTTTGTTTTCTTTGTCTTTAATTTCTTAGCCAGCAATATTATCGTTTTTAGCACCTATACAAAAATCTAAAATGTCAATATTCCATGGATATACAGGGTGGTCCGAATTGTATTTCGGAAACTTTGGCAGCATATTCTGCAGATAAAAATAAATATTAAAGTTCGTGTAAATATATGTCCTAAAATGCTTAGTTTCGGAGATATAGGGTGTAGAAATTACATTTTCATTTCGATTTTTTCCAAATTATTTCTGAAATAACCTCAATATTTAGATGAAAATTGGTGTCTGGAAGTTTTTTGACATGAGAAATTTGATTTTGATGTTAATATGACTCCTGATTGTAGGGGGCGCCACCTATACGTGTTTTACCTGTTTTAAAGAGTAATAACTTTTCGTCCGTACCTGTATAAAACTTTTACTGAGCCAAAAGTTATACATTTCCGTGACTTTTTACGTAAAAATAGTTTTTTTGGTAAAAATTCCTACGAGCAACGGTTCTCAAGATATTTAGAATGAAAACAATCAGTACATGGCATTATTGACATAAAATAAACACGTTGAGTAAATAGGTAGTTATTTGACTGAAATAATAAATCAGGGATATTTTTATTTTTTTAAATTAATCATAAATTTTTCTGTGAAAAAAATGATGATAAAACAGTTTCTGTTGAATTTTTGGCACAAAAAAACATTTAAAATTTATGATTTCAGTCTAATAACTATTTAGTCAACATATT